GATTCCTCTGGCCCTCTCGGAGAGCCTGGCAAGCTACTGAGAGTATTACACCACATGGTAAAGCCTGGCAAGCTACCTGTGACATATTTGATAAGCCAAAAACAGTAACAACAAGTCTCACAATGGAGATGTTACTGATGCCCGCTCGAGCAAATCAATGAACAATGGGAGGACAGTGACAGTGACAGTGACCCGATAAACAATACCTATTTTCATCTTACACTGTCTGAGTTCTAGGAGGGTGGGACGTTATTTCTTTTACTCAAGGCTGCTTCTCCCTGAGAACCAGAAGAGCGGCTGGCACATTCCTCTACTCATTCATTCATGAAACGCATATTTAAAGATTTACTAGTGCCAGGCGGCACTGACTGAGAACCAGAGGGTAGATCAGAGAGCAAAAATTTTCTTCTCTCATTAAAAGTTTTAAATGCTGGTGAACCCTTGGCCCTTGGGTTACAATACTTAGAATGCCAAGGAAGGGGATGGGGGGTGCGGGGGGAGAGGTGGTGAGATACAATATGAACATATTGGTGGAGGGTCTTGGGTACTAGGTAACTGCGTAGTTCAAAATCATAAGGGTTAACACTATTGTGAACATGTGAGCCAAAGTATAATAATTAAATGACAACAGTTTCCCTTCCCTACTGTATTCCACCTTGAACAACGACAGTGAATCACTGAGTGCTTTCAATGGATAATCTTCACAGTACTGAATCTTCACAATCGTTCTACTATAGGCTTCAGTACAACAGTCACAGGACAGGTGAGAAAACGCAGGCTCAGGACTGAGTAAGTGGCACGATTAAGATTCACAGCCCTCAGGCTGTGAGCGCTCAGCCCCTAGCTGTTCTCTCCCAGCACCTCTTGTCTACATGTGTCTCCCCAGTGTGAGAGCAATAAACATGTGCTGGGAACAATGGCTGAACGGCCAAGCAGAGTTGGAGAAGAACAAGGGTATCATTGGCATAAGAGCCAAGGAAAGAGGGCTGGAGCGATAGCACAGTGGATAGGGCGTTTGCCTTGCATGCGGCCGACCCGGGTTCGATTCCCAGCTTCTCATATGGACCCACCCCTGAGCACCTTCAGGGTTAATTCCTGAGTGTAGAGCCAGGAGTAATCCCTGTGCATTGCCGGGTGTGACCCAAAAAGAAAAAAAAAGCCAAGGAGAGACACAAAGAAAGGGGCACTGACTGATCCCCAAAAGCTAAGTGTACAAAGAGGGAAAAATGACCACGGCATGGATGCGATATCAGGGCTGGACCATAGAGGGGGTCAGAGACTGGAATATCAGAACAGAGTTATTGTCAAGATTTCCTGCCTTGTAGGTCCTTCAAAGTAGTGCAAAGTTCATCCTGAAGCTACGGGAACATTTAAGAATAAACAAATTGGGGATAGAGAGAAAGAGGGGGGTTAAGACACAGGCCTTGGATGCTGCTGACCCGGAAGCAAATGTGCCCCAAGTTACCAGGTGCAGTCCTGGAGGCCTTGTTGGCTGAGAACTGCAGGAGATTCTCTGGGTTCCTTGGGAACTGCCCACCCTAAAGAAATGAGATGAATTCAGAATAGATTCTGATTTCACAATTCTGGAGAAGAAGGAGGGTTTGGTGTCTAAAGGAAACTAAAGTGGTTGGAATGGGATTGGCAAAGAGCTCACATGTAGTGGACCATGGAAACAACGTCATCGAAAACTAGAATAAAGAAGTAGAACCAGGTGATTTTCCAACCGTGAGCCTCATCTTACACCTCAACTTTCCTATATTAACTCTTTATGAAATGGAATTGTCAAATTCCTGTTCCCCCCACCCCCCATTTCCCGCCCCATTTCTGCTTTCTTGAGACTTCAGAAACTTCACTGAGATCCAGTGATTCTATAGTTCCACACAGGTCACTTCTAAGACTTGAGATTATTGCTCATTTAGACTTTGAAGATGGCTTCGCCTCCTCCCAGACCCAAGGACAAACCAACCTTCCTTCCCTCGAAAGGTGGACAAGTGGTGATCAGTGCTTTGGGGAACGAGTTTACAACTTGTCAGACTACTTTCTTAATTAGCAAGAAGAGATCGGTTTCGTGCATCTCCTGTGGAACAGAGCCTGGCACAGCACTGCTCCTGGTTAGATGTGCAAGAAATGCATGTTAAATGGACCAAGTGCTCTGTCCCTCCCTATCGGACTTCCAGAAAGCATAACTTGCACTTTATTCTGAGCACAGAAATATCTGGAGGGCCTTAAAAAAGCACATTTTGTCTTTGTTTTTGTTTTTGGCCACACCCAGCAGTGTTCAGGGATTATCTCCCAGTTCTGTGCTCAGGGAACCACATGGGGTTCTGGGGATTGTACTTGGGTAAGCTGTACCCTACCAACTGTACTGTTTCACTGGCCCTTGAAAACACACTTATTCTTTTTTGCTTTTTTTTTTGGAGGGGCTCACACCTGCACAGGGGTTACTCCTGGCTCATGCACTCAGGAATTACTCTTGGTGGTGCTCGGGAGACCATATGGGATGTTGGGAATCGAACCCAGGTCGGCCTCGTGCAAGACAAATGGCCTACCCGCTGTGCTATCACTCCAGCCCCACATTCTTATTCTTTTGCAAGACCCTGGTACCAAGGGGCACAGAAGGCAAGTGTGCTTTGTGGGGGTTGCTTCTCTGATGGCCAAAACACATTGAGGAGGCAATGCTGTGGGAGATCTGCTGTGAATCCCATTTGTCCCAACCATGGAGAAGTACTTTGGTGGCACTCATGTTCTTTTCTGCTCCACCACCCTCAGTGAGTAGTCCCTGGGCCCATCTCTCTAAAATTTCTAGCATTTACCCAAAGACAAAGAAAGACCAGATTTGTGCTCTCAAGGGGTTTGGAGAGCATCTGTCTCCACACACAGTTGTTCCATGGATGGTGAAAGTCTACAGCTGTAGAAAGGCTGAAAACAACTATTTTACCACCTTGGTTACAAATGGGTGGTCTTGTTGACTGGTGCTGATCCACAGGTATAAAAAGACCGAAGAACATGGCTCTTGAGAGATATGGAGATGCACACGGTAATGAGGTTATGTTCTAGAAAACGGTCAATCTCAGTATTTTATCACGATGCTGTGAGGGCGAAGAGATGGAAATGGAAGAAGAGAAATGGGATAAAATTAACTGTAGGGGCCTGGGAGATAGCCCACAAGGGTAGAGCTTATGCTCTGTATATGGGAGCCCTGGGTTAGACCCCCGTACTGAGTGCTCCCGCAGGCTCCAACAGGGGCTCCCCAGCATTACTGGGAGTAGACCATCAAAACGAAACAAAAACCCCAAACCAAATACTATCCCAGGTAGAGGCTGTAAAATGACAATCACTAAGCTAACCTGTTATGTTCAAGTGAATTCCAGCAATCTGGGCAGATTATGGGAAAAAATTCCTTTGGAAAGTTTCTAAGAAAAAAAATCTCAGTATTGGAATGAGTTTGTAAACTATGCACATCTCATGACTGAACTGATAAGTCAGATCCAAAGCAACAAATGGGAAAGAAAGTCCTTTATTTTGGGTTGTGCCTTTCTATGTTTAAGGTGATGGTGACATAGTTAACAGTAAATTACCCAGTTAAGAACAATTACCCAATTTCGACAGCCAACTTTGAAATGGGTAACATATGGCATATCAGCCTATGGACTTCTGGGCAAAGCACTAAGGAATGAATTATTTGGAAAGTTCGGAGAAAGTTTGAGCCTTGTTAAAGAGGCAACTGCTTCTGTCGTCTCAAAAGAAAAAAACTCCCTACCCATTATTCCCTGGCTAGAACCAGGAGTGGAACTGCCAAGATTAGTTGGATGTCTGACTTTCCTTTGAAAGTAAGTACTGCCTATGGAAAATGTTATTTCAGGCAGTAGAGCAAGAAAGTAAAAGTTCCCCACCTTCTTTGGGTAAGTCCGATCTCTATTTATTCTTCCCTGTCATTTATGGCAAGCTTGGACTTGTTTGGAAAAAACATAAATGACCAAACAATGTCAAAGGCATTCCTCCTGAACAGTGCATCCTGGGAACAAGTTACGCAAAAAAGGTACAAATAGAAAAAACAAAGTTGCTCACAACAATTACATCATAGAAGAATTCTTTGAAGTTTTGATGTCTTACTTTTGCCCACAAATAATTAGTGACTCTTCTAAAGAATCTGTCATTTCCAGTAAGAGAATTCCTTAATATTAGGAAATCATACAACCTATTTAAAATAATCCTTAACAATCTAGCCAATTTGATGGGGGACAGACAATGCTCTTGAGTCTTGTTTTTTTGGAGGCAGCCACTCCCAGAAGTGTGGGGAGGGTTGCTCCCTGCTGAGTGCTCGGCTGGGAGCTGTTCTCCTGGCCATGCTCCTGGTACCAAAGTGGAGCCCAGGGTCGAATCCCGGGCTGCCACCCTCAGAGACCCTCCACCCCCACCCCGCCCGGTTCCTTCCAATTTGGGGTGCCCAACTTCCTTTCTCATCCCTTGACTGCACGTCGGTCTACACAGGTCCGTATCAGACAGGATGAGAAATGTGCTGCCTTCGCCTTCCCAGCAGAGACGGGGCACCTTTATCGAATCCAGCCTGGGCTGGGCGAGTTTTGGGGGAAGCCGGGGTTGGAGGGAGCGGAAAATCTTCTAATTTTACACTTGCTGTGCATGTCCTCATTTCTTTTTTTTTTTTAGTCGATGAACAACGGGATGACAGTGATACAGTGACAGTGATATATGTAAAATGTAAACTTTTAAAACTTTTTTGGCGTGTGCAACAAATTAAAAATAAAACGGCGGCGGGGGGGGGGGGCGCACAGAGAGAGAGAGAGAGAGAAAGAGAGAGAGAGAGAGAGAGAGAGAGAGAGGTCTTTCATCCTACCCCAACCCCCGCAGCCACCTCCTCCTCCCTCGCGTCTGTGCCCCCCGACGCCCACCAGCCGACTGGCGTCGGGCACTCAGCGCGGGCGCCCCGTCGGGTCGGAGCCAGCTCGCTCGCTCGCGCGCGCGCTTGTTTCGGTGCCCACCTTGCTCGCAGGTGCCCTTGCTGACTTGGGTGATGGCCTTGTCGCCCCGGCTCTCGGCGCGCAGGCTGGCGGCGCGCAGCTGGCAGCCGCTGGGGTAGGTGATGCCGTCGCTGCCGCACACCGGGTAGCGGCTCTTGCACACGCACACGCCGCTCAGCGCCGCGCCGCCGGCCGCCGCCCCGGCCTTGCCCTTCCGCCTCTTGCGGCTCTTCACGCACTCCATGCCCGGCGCGCAGTGGCCCCGGCCCGCGCCGCCGCCCCCGCACGCCTCGCCCTCGCCCCGCGCGCACACCGGGCAGCAGCCGCACGCGTCGCGGGTCTCGCCCAGCGGGCAGCCGCGCGGGGGCAGCGGCGGGCAGGTGGCCGGCTCGCAGGGCCCGCAGGCATCGGCCGGGGAGGAAGAGGAGGAAGAGGAGGAAGAGGAGAGGGGCAGCAGGAGCAGCAGCGCGGCGGCGCCGAGCAGGAGCAGCGGGGTGCGCGGCGGCCGGGCCATGTCGACTGAGCGGGGCTCCCCCGATCCGCCGGCGCCTTAAATCGGTCGCGGCCCCGCCCGGCCGGGCTCGGGAACCACACCCCGGGCGGCCAGCGCCGGCCCGCCCCTCCCGGGACCCGATCCCGGGGCACCCCCCCCGCCCCGAGGGCGCGCCCGCTGCAGGCGCGGCGCGTCTCGGGGCTGCACCTCTGCGTGCACCCGGGCCGCCTCCTGGCTCTGTCCTCCAGCCAGGAGGGCTGGAGGGCTCCCCCCCTGCCCCCCCCCCCCCCCCGCAGCTAGAGCGCCAATCCCCCTCACCCCGCACCGCGCCCCACTTCCCCAGTTCCTCCCCTTTCTCGGTCCAGAAAGTTGCACTTGGTTCAAAACCACCAGGACTTGGGAGAAGAAGCAGCGCCCAATCTGTTGCGCTGTCCGTGGGCCCGGAGACCCAAGTGCCCCTGGCTCCAGGGTTTTGGGGGGACGGGGGACTCTTTAAAGAACAGTCCGTGTTTTCCAGAACCCACAAGGGGATTGTGTGTTCCAGTTGGCCACAGCCCCGACGAACTTGGGTGCCGGGCTCAAAAGGAGGAATCAGTGCCAAGCTGGGTTCTGGAACTTCATCAGTGCCGCCTCCTCCCTCTGAGTTTGCTTATGCAAAGTCAAGTTTCAAGTGTGAGTGCTGGAATCTGCGAGGAGCTGGGTCAGAGACTCGGTTCTGGTTCTTATGGGCTTGTGAGACAGCTCCTGTGAGCAGCGCTGAGACATGGAAAGCGCCCTCATTTTTTTAAAAAATATTTTTATTTATTTTTATTTCTTTCTGTAAACCAGCTGCAATTCTTTAGTCTTTCTGTAAAGTCTCAACAGTTTTCTACAGTCTCAACTTCAAAGCCTTTCTCAGTCTTTTAAAGAAACCCCTCCTGCATAGGGCGTTGGAGCTATTTCCATATTTTATTGGGCATTCGATGCTGTGGTATTGCTATGAGAACTAAGCATCTTAATAGGATTGCTAATTCCAAAGTGTGCCTTGCACAATGTCACCAGTAACAGAGAACACATGCTCTCTCACTGGATTATCCTGCGTGATTACTGTTGTAAACATTTTTGAAAAGTAGCACTGTAGCACTGTCCTCCCGTTTTGCTGGAGCGGGCCCGGTAACGTCCCCATTGTGAGACTTGTTGTTACTGTGTTTGGCATATCGAATATGTCAGGGGTAGCTTGCCAGGCTTTGCCATGTGGGAGGAATACTCTCGGTAGCTTGCTGGACTTTCCGAGAGGGGCAGAGGAATCGAACCCGGATCGGCCCAGTTGGCAGTGTGTAAGGCAAATGTCCTACCCGCTGTGCTATCGCTCCAGAGGGAACGATAAACTGGGCATCCTGCCGGAGAGATAGGAGGCCTAACATGGCCATTGTCTCAATGGGATAAGATCCAGCGCCTGCTTGGTTTTGACCTAGGATCCCAGGAGCGCCACCAGGCGTCTCTCCGAATCACAGGACTGGGAGCAGCCCCTGAGAAACCAATCAGTGTGCTCCCCACTGTCGTCTCCCCCATTCCTTCCCCCTCTTCCCGGTCCCCGCAAAAACGAAAACCTCAAAACACAAACCCAAGCAAGAGTCTCCTCTTCTCTCCAGAAATTGTGCTGCTTTTGGCCTTGTGTTAAGTTCTAAAAAAATTGTACTTTTGGGGCCAGAGCGTTAGCACAGCGGGTAGGGCGTTTGCCTTGCATGCGGCCAACCCGGGTTCGATCCCCGGCATCCCATATGGTCCTCCAAGCACCGCCAGGAGTAATTCCTGAGTGCAAAGCCAGGAGTAAACCCTGAGCATTGCTGGGTGTGACCCAAAAAGAAAAAAAAATTGCACTTTTATAGAAAGGTCATATATTGACATAGCAATTGTTTTAAAAACCATGAGTGGGGGCTGGAGAGAGAGTACAACAGGTAACTGCTTGTACTGGTATAGCCAACCCTGGTTTGATCCCTGCCATCACCAACGGTCCCCCCAGCCTTGCTTTGCATGATCCTTGAGCACAGAGCCAGGAGCAAACCCTGAGCACTTCTAGGTGTGCTCCTTCCCCTCCCCCCAGCAAACAAACTAAAACCCAAGCCAGGAGAAGGTCTTAGAGCAGAGTTCTTCTAAACATTTTTGCCTTTGTCCCATAGTGGGAGATGGTTTATGTGACCCAGCATAAATGCAGATTTTACTCTAGTATTTCCTATTCTGCTGTTTTGGTACACTAAGTTGGTTTCCTGATCTCTTGTGATGATTTGTCTAATATTAGGTTCCCCCGAAGGCACCTCATGACTTGTGCAGGCTCTGATTCAAGTAGATATAAGTAGATACCTGAGGGCCCCAGTAGAACCCGCAAGTTGAAGGAAGGGGAGAGGGGTATAGATCAGAACTGAGCAAATAGGGGACTCCTGGCAGGTTGGCTTTGCAGCCAGAGGTGGTTCTCAGACTGTTACAATTGTGTGTGTGTTTTTTTTGTGTGTGTGTTGGGGGCATATGAGTGGTGTGGACAGTACTTGTTCCTCTGAGCCCTGTACCCACACCACAGACTTCAAAGTCTGCATCAGACTCAGCAGTAAGTATAGGTGTCTGTGGGGGCAGCCAGATCCTCTTGGGGACCCTCACTGCCCAGAAAGCAGAGGTCTCTTTGCAAAAAGGGGCCCTTGGGCAATGTGGTAGAGCCTATGGAGAGAACTTAGAACTGGGGGAGGTAGAGATTCAGAGGAAGGAGTGAAGGCAGGAAAATGAGGCCTTCAGAAGAAAAAACAAAGCCCTGGCAGTTCCTTCTTTGGGGAAAGACATACAGCTGTCTTTTTAGCATGGGATCCAGGAAGCGCCTGCTTTGGAGCTCAAAGAATGCTATTTGTGAAGAGAATTTTACTTCTGAATATTTTATTTGGGGGTTCTTGATTTTATTTTCTTGCTTAATTGTCCTGCTTAGGATCTTCAGCCTAACATGGCCTAGAAGTCATGAAAGTACCTATTCTTTAAAATTATTTTGGAGGGTTGACACCTGAATAATACTTAGGGGCTCATGGGGCAAGTGAGACCCCCTCCCTGCCCCAAGGGACCAGTCCTAGCAGCTGAAAACCTTCAGAACTCAACCACCGCCATGCTCATGCTCTCCACACAGTTCGGGTCAAGCTGTACCCACGAGTGAACCTATTCCTGGACCTCTTGGACACTTCATCGGACACACCCTACCCATCCTCCAAGAGGACCGCACCACTTTTGGTGGGGTTCAAAGTAGGAGGCAACCAATCTTAGAGGAAAAAAAAATATATATATATATAAGCACACAAGGCTCAACCTTTAACAACATGTTAGTCATCTCTTATAGAAGGGCTTAATGGCCCCTGGGTGAAATACAACAATCTTCACACTCTTTCCTCTAAGGATACTTTTTTTCCAACATATTTATTTATTTATTTATTTTTATTAGTGAAACACCATGATGTACAGTTGTAGATTTACAATTTTTTGTGCTTGGGTTTCGATTATAAGATGATCAAGTACCCATCCCTCCACCAGTGCCCATTTTCCACCATCATGGTTTCCAGTATCCCTCCCAAACCCATCCCCCACCATCCCACCCTGCCTCTGTGGCAGGGCATTCCCTTTTGTTCTCTTTCTCCTTTTGGGTGTTGTGGTCTGCAAAAGAGGCATTGAGTGGCAAACATGTTCAGTCCATAGTCTACTTTCAACATGCATCTCCCCTCCTGGGAGGGTCCTCCAAACACCCTTTATTTGGTGCTCCCTTCTCTATCTGAGCTGCCCTTTCCCCTAGAATGCCCGGCTGGCCTCTAAGCTATGGAGTAATCCTCCTGGTGCTGATCTCAGCTATTCTTCGGTATTGATCTCATATTTTGTTACTTTATAAAGGATACATTTTTTGGTAGCATTTTCAATGGTTTTTCATAACAAACAATACAAAATATATTATTTCGGTTCTGCTTTGGGGCAGGAATTGGGGTTCAGGATGGAAACATCTGAAATATGGTGGTGGAAAGTTTTAATGGTGGTGGGATTGGTGTTTGAATATTAAATGTAATAAAATATTGTGAACTACTTTATAAAATAAAAAAAATAAAAAACATAAAATTGGACCAAAAAAAAAAAAAGACTTAGTGGCTTGGGAGCCCTGTCTGGTGATGCTCAGCCAGCAGGGCTGGATAGCTCAATGCAAGGGTCTGAGGATGTGCATGATTTATAGTCCTTGGGGTCTCCACCTGGTTGGGGTGTGTGTGGTGCCAGGGTTCAAGCTCAGATAGCAATGCATGCAGAGTCTGCAACCCTTGACCTCAGAGTAGCCAATTTTAGCTTGTTTTGACTTACAGGAAAACTGTTTAGTCTTTCCCCAGTAAGGATGCTAGCAATGATCTTTCCACAGACTTAAAAAAAATCAGGTTAAGGAAATTCCCTTAGAATCCCCAATTATTGACAGAATTTTATCATGAAGAGTTTGAATGCTAAGTGCCTTTTGGGGGCATTTGTTGAGGTGGTTAAAGAAAATATTTAAAAGTTTCTGTATATATTTGCTGTGATGCATTATACACATTAATTTTTGAAAACTAAACCAAGCAGCATGTCTGGAGAAGTGGGAAAATACAGCTATGCTAGCACATCTAGCAGAGCTCATGCTCCGAAAGAACTGGGTTCTGAACAGAGGTGAGAAGTCCAGTTCATAGCATATCTGATGGGGGTGGGGACATTTGCGGGCAGCTGGCAGGAGAGGACAGAAGAAGAAATTTCAGAGCATGCTATCTTGCAAAGCAGGGTCGGACTACATCCATGACATGAGTACATTTGGCATATGGTCCCAGGTTCCCAAGGTTACAAAGTGAGACTCTGACCATCTCAAGGACATCCTGAATGCACTCCGTGGTTATGTCGTGTCTTCCAGACTCAACAGCCCTTGGCAGGTGGTGTCAAGCTGGCTTGAAGTGAGACTGTCCAGCATATGGGCAGGGGTTTCTTTTTGTCATCAGAAGGATTTAGACAGCACCTCCCCTTCTGTTGTTGTTTGTAGGAGTTTG